TGGAGGAAGCCTGTGAATTTAGACTCAACTTTAGCGGAGGAGTGACAACCGGTGGCGCGCATGTGCGCTGACCTTTTGCCGATATCCAGCGTCAAACAAAAAACTTTCGTAAGCTGAAGAGCGTGTGACCAATTCAGCATTCAGTGGGGGGGGGGGCTAGGTCGAGTCGGTAGCGTTGAACCTTACCATACGCGGTAGCGGTAAGCGGTCATCGCTTACCGCTACCGCGTTTCTGAAGCTACAGGAGTGTTGGGTAGAAGGCCGAGATGTGGGAAACCTCGCACCTATCGCTTGATTAAGATTCTAATTCGAGTCCTCTCCTGAAACACACTTTTGCTCGCTAGAGGCATTGAACATCCGAGATTTTCAAAGTGATAGTGGACAAATTTAACTTCAAGCTATTTCACTTGCATATCGCAGGAGTAAAGTACTTACGATTAGAAGGATTACCGTAACTGCTCATCGATCATACTTTTTTTCGTTGAGAATTTTGTTTTTCAGTAGCCGCTTAAATGTGTTGTTGCGAGCGATCTCAAGTAGGAGCTCAGGATCCTCTTAATTTGCTCCCTAAAATTGAAACCAGTTATGAATGCGGCTCCTGGTTCTGTGTTCTACGATCCACCTTTCCATGAAAACGCATCGGGATGAGGCGTACAAACTGCTACGAGTGCCCTCAACTTGGCAACGATTGCGTTCAAAGAGAGGTTTTATTGGTTTCGTAGGTCGCATCGATCTAAATAATAAATAAGATTGTGCTTGCAACAAACTACGATATGACAACACTTTTTCGACTCCTCAGAGGCAGTGATTGCGAGAAGTTGACTGCGATGAAATTCGAACGTAGATGTGCCAAGTTGGTGCGCGAGTGAAATAGAGCGGGTAAGCTGAGAAATGGAACTGTAATGTTTTTTTTTTCCTAAGTACAGTCGGTATCCGTGAGTTGTGGTGGATGTGGCACCGCAAGTGACGCGCACTTGATAGAAGATGCGTTGATGAACCTGATGCCAGCATGCTCAGCTGACATCTAGCGATATATATGTTGGAAGCAGCTTATCCACATAGCTTTTATCAAGTGCGGCGATGGCCACGTCATTTCCGATGACACACCTACCCCAACTTTCGGATATCGAGTATAATGTCACGGGGTGATTTTACGACTTCAGTGATGAATAACCCTTCGCGGATGCTGTTATAGCGAATTTCTTGTGCTGGACGGCCTCAATGGCGGATAACCTTCCAAGCCTGATCGCGGGCGCTGGATCTATTCTGTGCATTCTCCAGCATATGCAATTGAAGGAACCGGTGAAGTTAAGTCCTGTTTGAATGAATGGGAAGGATGCATGTGGACTTAGTAGCAGACTACCAGTGAACGATAAGTGACACTTCCTAGTCAGTGGGCCTTCACGGAATCAGCGTTAGACCGACGTCATAGTCGGCGACGGACCAAGCGATGGAGCGATCGCGATCGCTCCATCGCTTGTCCGTCGCTTGCCAATCGCTCTCGGTCGAGCGATTGGCAAGCGATTGCGCAATGTGCACAAGCGACGGGCGATTGGCCCCGCCCCCAGTCAATGCGGTCGGCTGCGGTATCGATCGAGCAGAGCCATTGCCCGTCGCTTGTGCACTTTGCAAGCGATTGCGCAATCGCTTGCCAATCGCTCGACAAAAGAGCGATTGGCAAGCGCGTCGCCGACTTATGAGTCGATCTTAAAGGACAATACAGATGAGGTCGTGTTGAAGACGTTTATTGTGGGTGTGGGGGCTCGATGAGTTATCAAGATGTGACCTGTTGTCGCGCTTAATTTGCGCTAATGTCGCCAGGGCCTTAAAAAGTGATCTTATTCAACTGATGCAAACTTATGGATGAGACACCTCGCGCTCGCCTCCATGCAACGTGGATTGAAACTTAGCGAATGAGGTAGCAATAAATAGATAGAGAAGTAGTCTCATCGAATTGATGCTGCATTCAAGAATCGTCTAGCACGTCTTTGCATGTCTTAGTGTCGTTTCCTGTGGCGCCACAATTTGACTGGGTTGTGCTTTAACTCTCGAGTGAGTGCCAGCTATTTGACGTGAAAGTGTGGCTCGACGGGTGATATGATACGGTTCGTTACTACAATTTTCGTGATGGAGTGCACCTCAAATTAAAGCCGCCGTCTCTTCTATCGTGTCATATCACATGCGGTTGCCGCTCTTCGGCCATGTTTTTTCTGGCTTTATCTCGCTTTCAGGTCGTGGAGTGTGGAATGCATCCACGGGTCAACGAGGATTAACGAAAGGTCAGGAGGCCGAGAGAGGACATGTTAAAGTCGAAGCAAGGGCGGACCCTCTGATGGGTGCGGTAAGGGACGGAACGATGCGGGTTGCGCCACCAGTATGTCTAGCGCTGCAGAGGCCATTGTGCGGCAGGGCCCCAACCTATTCGCGGGCTGATTGGGCCGATTTGGCCGGAGAGATGAGAATGGGCGTGGGCGTAGGAAAGGGCAGCACCCTATAATTTCACTTCTTTACAAGAGATAAAGGAAAGGTGTGCCGTGATAACACTGGAAGAGCTGTGGCAGTCCCCGTGCACTGCACTGCGGACTTTCCGAGCGTTTCAGATGACACACATCACTCTGTGTAAAAGCCGACCAATTAGTGTTTTCTCAAAATTCTGGGCAACAACAAATATTTGTCAATTCATCAAAGAAGGGTTCACCGCAGCGCTTACCGCCGGCTTGCGCTTCTTGCTTCATCGCTTCCACTAACGTCTTTTCTGTGTTTATAAAATCACGCGCAGCGTACAGGCTGTCAGGCAAAGACTTCACGCTACGAAATGCTATGGCAGATATAGTACGAAGCGATCATTGACCGGCCTTTACATAAGTTTTGTAATAATTCCACTAAAGATTGGCAAAATGTGGACGTGAATGGCCAAGGACATTTGCGACGACCTGATGCGTCGAATCCCATGCTTTAGTTTGCTGAGTATCGTTTTACTTCTTTTACATAACATTAAATGGCGGTAATCACGTTTTTCTCCGAATTCCAGGCTCACATGGATCGGAACGAATTCTCAGCGATCAG